GCTGTGCCGACGCGAGCCGGGGGCGCATAATCGGCGCAGGAGGCAATCTCGCCTCCAGGCCAGCCAGGCGTCCGTCCAGCATATTCCCAACTGCGATGAGGATTTCTCGCAGTTGGGAGTCAAATGCCCCTGAGTTGGTGGTAGGGGCAGGCTGGGACGCGGACGGGGCTTCCCGCTCGGGGAGGTTCGCCTGGAAGCGGGCGAACTGAGCGCTCAGCTCGTTCACCCGCTCCGTCAGCTTCTCGTTGGCCACCTGCAGGCGAGAGACGTCGCCCGCTAGGCCCTCCACGACCTCCGACAAAGCGGAGGAGGAGTCCTTAAGGGCCCTCACAAACGAGCCCTTAAGGTTCACGGATTTGGTGGCCACCTTGTTGATGACGGCCACCGCCGCTTTCGCCCTCTCCTGCACGGACACGGGAGCCTGGAGGGCATTTCCGACCAACGGCTCCCGAACCTTGAGCAGGAGATCCGCGATCTCCTCCTCCGCTACGGCCTCGCCGTCCACTCGTACGCTCCTGTAGGACTCCGCGTTTGAGAACGCGGAGCCTGACGGGGTCGAGACCGAGGCCGAGGCCGGTTTACGCGCCCTCCCTCGGCGGCTGCTTGCCACCTTTGGTGGCATCATTTCGCCGGACGTGTCGGTCCCCTCCTCCCTGGAGCGTCCGCGTTTCCTGCTGTCGCTTCGTTCCGCCTCCATGGCCTCCGCGCCATCTGACGAAACGGCGGATCCAGAACGTATACGATCCGATGCTCTTCGGCTCCCAGTGACCAGAGTCAGACTGACCTCTGGGAGCCCCATCGAGATAGGCGTTCCTGACACCATCTCACCCTCAGTGGACGACCCATCCGCTCCACTGTTCTGCTTTTCCTTCCTTCGCTGTGCTTCCTTTTCCGTTAGGCTTGCCTGTTTTCGTTGTGTTTGTCCGATCGTTTTCTTTTGGTTTTTGTTTACAGTTTCCATAGTAAATCCCACGAGTGGGGGAGAACTAAAGGTCCACCCGGGCAGAGATCCCCCATTACCCGGGCAAGCGTAAGTTTTTAACCCAACCGAGGGGTCCGCAGGTACCTCGGCTTGGAGTGCGCTCGCGACTGAACTTCCCATCAGCCATGCATCCCCTGGCCACGCACCAGAACACGGGATTCGGGGAATTTTTTAGAGAGGTTATCTTCCTCGCGGTCCGGGCGGTTAAGCCAAGACCCTCGTCCCCGATCAGAGCCGCGAGACTTAACCACAGCGCTCTTCTCGGGATTACGATATGCCGACGGTTGACAGGGAGACTACGTCCCCCTACCTGCTCGGTGGTAGTGTGAGTACACGCCGAGCCCGTCCTCCTTTCTCCACCGCTATCAGCGGAGAAAACTGTGGCCCCTACAGGGCCCCGCCATCAGGTTTTTTACCGAGGTTTCCTCCTCCATGCTCCGAAGAGCGAAGAGCCAGCAGGGCAACCGGCAGACACGCCCACCCTGCTGGACCAGGCCTTGCCCGAGAGCCGATGAACGGCTGCCTCTTCTGCTAGAATATTGGCCGCTGGCGATAATCCTCTCCTCCAAGAGGACAAGGAGGAAACAGTACCATCGCCAGCGTTTCCAGGGTGCACCACGGGGAGGTTTTCTAGCCAGCACCCCAAACAAACCTTATACTAACCCGTCTGGCCAGCGCGGTATAGTAGGCCAAAACCGCCTTTCTGAGGAGCAAGGCCGTCTTAGGCCACGCCGAGGCCCCTGGGCACACAAGAATTAGGGGCCCTGTTGGACAGTTAACAAAATGAATGGTGAAAATATTTTTAGTTATGATCTTTTACTTAAAATGATTTATTGGCAACAATCAAATATACCTATAATTAGAGATATTAAGTAGATAGATACATTTACGAGTAAGTATAATAGATATAAATATGGGATGTTAATTAGACAAGCATCTTTGAATTGATGGTTTGAATCAGTTAGGTACAATTACGACAGTAATTTTTTTCAGGATTTCTGTTGTGCAAATTCTTCTATTATATCTTCAAAGTAAATTTTTTTTGAGGATATCATTTTCTATACACATAATTGATAAATACGTTAGTCGCTCTTGTGACGTTGATGTTCGTAATTCATTTTTTATTCGCTTTAACTTTGAAAATGAGCGCTCTCCGCTGCAATTGGTAACCATTAGGCATAGAAACATTCTTGTAGCCACTTCAACATTCGGAAAAGTTTCTTCTAATCTGTCGGACTTTATTAAATTATGTAAGTTTGAGATACTCAAATCAGCTGATTCCTTTGATATATTCTTTAAATACTGTCTTAAACGAAAACACTCTGATTTGAGCTCATATGCATTAATGTCTTCATGATAGAATTCTTTAAATTCATTGCATTTTTTTGTTAACTCGTCAGAATCAATTGCTGTTAATTGTGAAAGAAAACTAAAACGATCGTGAATTTCTAGATACGCTACCAAACGATTTTTTAAATGTGCATATAATGTATCTATTATAGGAATAAATGTATCTATACGAAATTTTTCCTTCCCATGCAACTGCACAGTCTCTGATGATCCTTCAAAGAAAGTAACGCGTGTGCTGCGAATTCTATTCCTGTCAAAAATTCCCAAAAAATCATTCCATATTTTCGTTTTGCGCTTCGTTTCTTGTTTCTCCTGGTTGATTGATATAACTTACTATCGAGGATAAAGCTTCAGAAATATTTAAGTAACCATTTTGTAAAGCATTAATGGCATTTGCACGTGCAGACCATCTAGTATCCGGCCCAGACTTCAAGACTTTATTTGTGCCTACTTGCTCTACCATTATTTTCCATCGTTTGGTCGAAGCGGAGAAGAAATTGAACAATTTTTGTATAAACTGAAAATATGCTGCAGCTTCGGAAACACAATCAATAGGTTGAATACCTACTAAATTTAGCGAGTGTGCTGCACATGGGACAAAAATGGCAAATTTGCATTTTTCTTTTATTTTTGACTGAACACCAGAATACTTTCCAGACAAATTTGATGCATTATCATAACTCTGTTCACGACAATCTTTTATAGGAATATCAAGGCTTTCCAAGAAGTTCAAAATGTTACCTGCTAAGTATTCTGCATTATGTTTATCTATAGGCAAGAGGCAAGAACTGTAGAAATCTCTCAAGAGGCTCTCCATCTTTTACGTATCTAACGATGAAAGTTAGTTGGTCAACGTGAGAGAGATCTGGCGTAGAATCCACGCTTATAGAGTAGTATTTTGCTGATTTTATTTCACTCACAATTGTTCTTAAAACTTGCTGTCCCATTATATTGATAAATTCATTACAAATATTTGCAGACAAATATGATGTACTTCCTTTCCCACGATTTCCGCAGTTCCGCATATGATCAGCAAGAAAAGAATCAAATTCACCAATCAGTTCTAAGCATCCTAAATAATTTCCATTGTTTTGAGACCCCAAAATCTCATTATCACCACGAAAAGCAAGACCTCTAGAAGCCAAAAATTTCACTACTGCAACTATCTTCTAAGTACATTCTTCCAATAATTGACTTCTGCATTATATTGGGATAGTAACTCACTGTCAAGTCGTCCAGTAGATTTGCTTCTTGCGACATAATTCATCATTAATTGCCTGTGCTGTAAACTATTCTCATGCTCAATTAATAAGTTACTTATATGCTTCCAATCTTTATATCTATTTGGAGAACTCAAAGTACATCCAGTACCTGTACTAGTATTAAATAGACGGCAGCAGTAACAGTACACAGATTTTCTCAAAGGTGAATAAAGGAGCCATTTTCTTTCTAACGACTCGCCATTCGTGAATTTACGGGTAAAAATATTCTTAGACAAATATCTAGTTAAATGAAATGATGCACTTCAAATTTATCCTTGGCTACCGCAGCGTCACCCTTATTGGATGCGTTTTTACGGATACGTTATGGCAATGCCACATTTTCTGACACATTTGGTAATATCATTGGCAGAGGCGGCCTTTGGGGGCCTTTGGGGGCGCAGACCCCGGGGCCTCGCTAATGCAGGGGCCTCACGCATGCAGGGGCCTCACGCATGCAGGGGCTTCGCGCACTCGCGACCCCAGTAGAAAAATATGTTTATTTGAATTTCGCGCTTTACGCATCGCATTCTAAAACTCACGTCACACTTCTCGCGCTCTTTTGCGTGGTACTTAAATATTAAGGTGTTTACGATTTACGTTCAGGGATTACCCGTGTTTAATTTCGCCTGTAACATTGTAGAAACTGTCGTCGGCTTATGCTTTTATGTGCGAGCAGCAGTATGTGTTGCGATGCAATTTTTTTTTTAATGTATGATCATGAAAACTAATTCCCGGGACCCGGGGCCCGGGGCCTCGCAGTGGCTAAGGCCGTTACTGATCATTGGCTTGTCAGTGCTTAGAGTTGCTAAAAAGGTCCATTTACTTTTTTTTCGGATAATATCGATATGAATTTGAAAAAAAAATGAGGTAAGCGAATATTTAACGTGCTATGTATTTGCTTTTTGGAGGCCCCTTGACGATGGAGGCCCTGGGCACGGGCCCCGTGTGCCCTTATGGTAAAGACGGTACTGCTGAGGAGAGGCCTATGTCCAGCAGTGGACTAGTAAAGGTTGTTGATGATATGATGTGTGATACCTACATTCGAAGTACAAAAACTAGAAATTTAAAAAATAACAAACCCTATCAATCATTCGCTAACCGATTAGCGGTTTCCACTCTAATTGAAAATTACCAAACTATAATCAATAAATATGTTTATTAGCTTACACCTACTATTATAATAATTCAAATTATCTTGTTTTTTAATAAAATAATCATTTCCTGAGCAGAAAAAAAACTGGTCAGCAACCATACGAAAATAATTCTAATTAAACTGGTAGTTTATCAAACACTATATAAAGCCGACCTATTTAGGATGCTGCATCCAGTTCAGTGTTACAACTTATTCTTGCATATCGTAATATTCTACCAAATTAACAACATCGTGATAAATATGAAGGTTTTAGTTGCCATTTGTGTTCTGGCGCTGGTCGCATTATCGTCTACTAAACCTCAACTGCATCCGCGCGGTTGCATCACTGTATTGAGAAAATGTAAGTTAAAGTTAATTTGTCTCTAAAGTTAAAGTCTGGTGACGGATTAACAAAACGGTGACCATCCCTATTCATCCCGTGGGTGTCGTAAACTAATGGAACCAACTACGCAGGACAACATCACTGCAAAGAGAAGGAAAACTTGTATAATAGAAATAGACTGAAGACTTCAATGATCAACTAAATCCTTACTACAGTGAACTCAGGACACACAAGTGGTTTTCAGTCTTTTGGAGTATGGAGTACGATATTTTCTTTGAGTGATGGAAGTCATATCGGACTGAAAATACTGCAGCCGACAATTTTTTAGAGACTGGTTGTGCCCGCCATGAACTCGAGCGACTCGTGGCTAAGTGGTAACCGAGAACGTTAACACATTGCAAAGTTAAGCAATCCTAGCCAGGTCAGTCTATGGAAGGGTAACCGCTCTTAACACATTGAGACCCTTTCGTGCCTCGGAGAGCAGGTTAAGCCATCGTTCCCGGCTGGTGGAGAAAACCCGTCCCGTCCACCCGCGGCCACACTCAGGGCGGCATGAGGCGGTGGAAAGCGTGCCTTCGCCGAACTGTTCGCCGGCGACGAATGGGGTCCATGTGAAGATTGTCCTCCCGGGCCCTCTCCGCTGCCTCGTTCTGCGAGATGACGTCTTCGCAGGAGTGAAAAATCTGTCACTACCGGCCATGGTTTGTATGACGGCCGGTTGCGAGAGGTGACCTCCGATGACTGCAATAAGGACCCGGCGTTGCTACAACCAAGCCGGGCAAATTGCCAGCATGTGCTGTCACCGAGTCCTCACTGCAATCGCAGTGGTGACAGGCGGGACTCAATTCCCTCCCAGCGACCTAGTGCAGGCCATCGTGGCTCGGCGAGCGGCCTCTCACCACTCGCGTATCCCTTCGGGCGGGGGCCGACTGCCACTATCCACCCGGAACTCAGCCGTCGGCCGATATACTTCGGCGAGCACTTCCGCCCCCAAATCCCACAGGGGAGTACCGGCCAATGCGCACGCTGCCTCCGTCGAAACGGTGCGCTAGCCTCGTATGCCTCTAACTGCCAATATTCTCTGAGGGCGCCAGAGGCGTGCCCTATTCTGAGCGGTCAGAGCCGCCGCCCACACCAGTGCACCTTACAGTGCCATTGACCGGACGACCCCCGTGTACAACCGTTTCGTTGCGATGCTGGGTCCACCCAAATTGGGTAAAAGTCGCCCTAGAGACCAACTTTGGAGCAAGCTGTCGGAAGTGCTCGTCGAAAAGCCACCTCCCGTCGAGGATCAGACTTAGATACTTCATATAGGCCTGAACCGGTACGAGGACCGAGTTGACCACGATTGAGGCACCAGGGGGTAGACCACGACAAGGCCCATTGAAGAGGGCCTCCGTCTTATCCAGGGCCACCCGTAAGACCAGCGCCTAAATGCGCTTGACTACCAGAAATACCTAATTTGCCTCTGTCAAGCTTTTGGAGAATAGCCGTGAATGTATGCAGTTTGTATACGTCATTGTTTAATTTAGTCTCTTTGTGATTAGTCTAGCAATAATTTTACTTGTATGTTTCGAATTTGCTTCAAGTCTATGCCTAAGTATTGACGTAATGTTCAGTTGTATTCTAGTTCTAAATCGATCTAAGTGGCGTGCAATGGGAGAGGCCTATGTCCAGCAGTGGACTGCGATAGGCTGATGATGATGATGATGATTCTAGTTATATATTTTCTAGATGTTACTTAGGGACATAGACACAATAATAATAAATATAACATGAGCACAATTTTTAATGTATTCTTAATGATATTGCGTAGTGTGATACAGTGTTATTCTAATAGGTGTCTGTGTTTTGAGAACAAATGTTATTTAGTAAACCAGATATCGGGCAACAGGTTTCGGGTGTTTATAACTAGTTTTTATTTTTTTCTAAATTAAAAGTAATCGATATTAACAAATAGTCCAAGGTACAGTAAAACGAAAAATAATAAAACGGTAAAGATCTGACTAAATATGAAAAACTGGCAATAATATAAAGTGGCACCCAAAACACAAACCCTTTTTTTTTTTTTTTTTTAACGTGTGGAAATCCCCTCGGACCGTCACCCCTCCGGGGTTTGCGGCGGGGTGGTGTGTCGGACTCGGACCGACTAAAACCACACGGTGTGCCACTCTGCGCCTGTAACAGGAGGGATCCGGGAACAGCTGTTGTTAAGACATCCGGACCCCTCCTAGCGCCAGCCCGCTCCTGGTGCGGGCTCCGTCTCAATGTTGTTGTTGTTCCTCTCTTTAGGCGACGTCCGGCACACGCGGACGCCGCCCCCTCGCGGCTGGCCAACTAATGCGGGTGGAGGGGAAACCCACCCCGTCCACCCGCGGCCACACTCAGGGCGGCATGAGGCTGTGGTAGGCGGGCCTCCGCCGCCCGGTTCGCCGGCGGCGGATCGGGTCCGAGTGGAGGTCTTCCTCCCGGGCCCTCTCCGCCGCCTCCTTCCGCGAGATTACTACCTCGCAGAAGGTTGCGACCGCGGTAAAACAACTGTCGCTACCGGCCATGGAGCGTACTACGGCCGGTAGCGAGAGATCCACTCCGATGACTGCAGTGAGGGCCCGGCGCTGCGCCGCCCATGCGGGGCAGACCGCCAGCGTGTGCTGGGCCGAGTCCTCACTGCAGTCGCAGTGGTGGCAGGCGGGACTCAGTTCCCTCCTAGCGACCGTGTGCAGGTACTTTCCGAAGCAACCATGCCCGGAAAGCACCTGCGTCAGCCGGAAGGAAAGGGTCCCGTGCTGCCGCCCTGCCCACTCGGCGATGACCGGCTGGAGAGCCTCCACGGCGGCGAAGCCAGCGCGTGGAGTCTCCAGCCGGAACGACCAACGAGCCATCGTGGCTCGGCGAGCGGCTTCGCGCCACTCGCGCACATCCTCGGGCGGAGGGCGAAATCCGCTCTCCGCCCGGAAGTCAGCCACTCGCCGATAAACTTCGGCGAGCACTTCCGCCTCCAAATCCCACGGGGGAGTTCCGGCCAATGCGCACGCCACCTCCGTCGAAACGGTGCGGTAACCGCGTATGGCTCTGACCGCCATTACCCTCTGAGGGCGCCAGAGGCGTACCCTATTCTGGGCGGTCAGAGCCGCCGCCCACACCGGTGCACCGTACAGTGCCATTGACCGGACAACCCCCGTGTACAGCCGTCTTGTCGCGACGCTGGGTCCACCCATATTGGGCAAAAGTCGCCCTAGGGCAGACGCAGCGCCGACCAGCTTTGGAGCAAGCTGTCGGAAGTGTTCGTCGAAGAGCCACCTCCCGTCGAGGATCAGGCCCAGATATTTCATCTGGGCCCGAACCGGTACGAGGACCGAGTTGACCACTATTGAGGCGCCAGGGGGTGGACCACGACGGGGCCCATGGAATAACAGGGCCTCCGTCTTATCTAGGGCCACCCGTAAGCCCAGCGCCTCAATGCGCCCGACCACCAGGGAGACTCCCCCTGTGGCCAGGCGCGCCGCCTCTTGGAAGTTTGCCCCCCGGGCTGTCACGAGGGTATCGTCTGCGTAACAGATTACACCCAGCCCGGGGGGGAAATCGGCGCGAAGGGCCCAGTCGTACCCTATGTTCCACAAGAGGGGTCCAAGAACAGACCCCTGTGGAACACCGCACGACATGGGCCGACACCTCAGATTACCTTCTCGGTCCTCGTACACGACGGTACGCTCCTCTAAATAGTCTGCCACCAGCCGCCTCAGGTACTTTGGCACCCCGTGATAGTGGAGTGCTTCCCTGATGCAGCTGAATGGCAGACTATTGAATGCGTTGGCGATGTCTAATGACACCGCCAACAGCACGCCGCCACAGCTCACGGCCTCTTCGGTCACGGCCCTCAGGCGCAACACGGCGTCGACTGTCGAACGCCCCGCCCGAAAACCAAATTGGGCGTCCGACAGATCGGGGCCCACCTCGCAGAGGTGCCGGACGATGCGGGCAGAAAGAACCCTCTCAAACAATTTGCCCGCCTCGTCCAGCAGCACGATGGGCCTATAGGCCGCGACCGAATCGGCAGGCCGTCCCGGCTTCGTCAGTAGGACCAGCTTCCCGCTCTTCCAGCACTCAGGGAAGCGTCCCGACGCCAAGCTAGCGTCGAACACCTCCCCGAGGCGGTCTGCCATGTGGTTGAGGGCCAGGGCCAGCACTCGGGCCGGTACCCCGTCTGGCCCAGGGGCGGTGTTCTTGGAACGGATCCGTAGAACAGCCGCCCCTACCTCCGATTCCCGGACGGGCGGAACATTGTCCTCCCCGTGCTCCCCGTCGTCTCCGGCCAGGGAGGCCATCGACGGGGGAGTGTGTTCCGCCCGTTGTGGGAAAAGGCCCTCAACCACTTCTCGCAGGAAGCTGGGCTGGAGAGTCTCCGTAAGGGGGGGGCCCGACGCGCGGAGCTTTTGTCGCACCGCGCGGTAAGGGCGACCCCAGGGGTCACGATTAAGACCCTCCAGCATCTCCTGTCTTTTTTCCTCTTTGGCGCGGCTAATGGCCAGCTTCAGAGTTTTCCGCGCCCGTCGGTACTCCTCATGAAGCCGGTCCTCCTCACCGTCTCCACGGTGACGCCGCCGACTGCGCGTGTAGGACCTCCGGGCACGTGTACAGGCCGCACGGAGGTCCGCCAGCTCCTGGGACCACCAGTAGACCTCCTTCCTTGGAGGCCGACGACCTCGAACGCGGGGCATGGCCGCATCGCATACATGCGTAATCGCATCGCGAAAGCGGCCAGCCCCCACGTCGACCTCCTCGGTCGGAGCCTGAGGAGACAGCCACGAGTGAATTATGGCTGCCTCCTCTAGTAGGTCCCGGTTCAGCCTGGCAACAGCCCACCGCGGAAAGCGGGATGAACGCCGCGCCACGTGACCCCTACTGGAGTCCTGGGTCCGGGAGAGCTCAAATCGGATATACAGGTGATCCGAGAGCGTCTCAACCTCTTCCAGGACACACCAGTTCCTTACTCGTGCGGCGAGGACAGGGGTAGCGAACGAAAGGTCCACTATCGACCCCCCCTGCTGTCGCACGCACGTGTTGGTGGAGCCTCTGTTTAGAAGACAGAGGCCCACCGAGGCCGCCCACTCCTCTACGGCCTCGCCCCTGGCGTCCGTCCTGGGGGAACCCCACGCAATGGACTTTGCGTTGAAGTCCCCCAGCACAAGGACGTGCCCAGACGCTAGTCGCCGTATCGAGGTCTCCAAGCTGGTTAGGAAAACCTCGAAGTCGTTCAAACTCCGGTTGGGGGAGAAATAGACACCATATATGGTGATCCCCCCCCACTCGACGGCAACATATCCAGTGCCCTTGTCTCTTAGCGACAAGGGCGGGGAATGAGCCGTCGTGGAACCGACGACTGCCACGGAGCCGTCCCAGTCACCCATCCAGTTTGGACGGGGAGGGACAGAATAGGGCTCCGCGACTACGGCAACACCTATCGACCACTGTGCCATGGTTTGCAGGAAGAGATCCTGCGCCGCGGCACAGTGGTTCAGGTTCGTCTGGACCAGGAGGTTGGAGACTTGATCCATTACTGGATCGTCTCTACAACCTCCTCCATGGGCGACGACGTCGACGCACGAACTATATCGGAGGCAGCCTGGGTCGACTGGCTAACCCCCGACGTCTGCCGAGAACTGCGGGGAGGCTTGCAGCCTCTCTGCCCCATCTGGTGATTGGCGGGCTTATTGCCCGCCGCACACACTGGGCAGTGAGGGGCGGCAGAGCATTCTGCCGCCTTATGCCCCGGTTGACCGCAGCGGAAACACAGTCCGCCGCAGTCAAAACAACTGTCGCACTTGACGCGCGTGTGTCCCGTGGCCAGGCATTTAAAACACCTCATCGGTCTCGCCGCCAGGACTGTGATCCTGGCGCTCACGAAACCGATGAGCAGCCTGCCGGCGTCGGCCAATACTTTGGCCGACGCTACGGGACAGCTGACCCACACGGCGCCAAGCCCTCCTGGTGCCGACCCTGACGTTGTCCGCGCTGCACCCCGTCTTCTCCCGGATTACAGCGCGGACATCTTCGGCCGTCACAGAGTCGTCCAGGCCCGAGATGCGCAGCTCTGCGCACTTAGTAGGCCTGGCGATCTTTACACCATCCGTGGCTGTAAAGAGTCCCCGCAGCTTCTCGGCAAATGTGTCCGCCGTCTTAGCGCCTTCAGCCCCAGGGAACTCGAGGACTCGAGCTCCCGTCTGGGCGAGGCGCATCCTGACCCCCACCGTCCCAAAGTCGTTGGCGAGGCTGTCCCGGGCCTTTTTGAAAACGGCCGCGTAGGACAACCCGCCGTCCGCCGCCTCCGGGGACACGGTCACCACTACAGCCGCGGTTTTGGGCGGCTGCAGCTTCCGCGGCCTCTTTGTGGAGGCCGTTGCCACCGGTGGCGAAGGCTGGGCTTGGGCTGCTTTTTTGGCAGCCTTTTTGGCCCGCCTTCGGGACTTCTTGGAGCCCCTCGCCTCCTGCCAACCCTCGTTGGAGGGGGCAGGTGCGGAGGGGCCCGGCAGGGGTGTCGGAGTGGGGAGCGGAGGGAATGCCACTCCGCTCCTCGGCGCTGTTCTAGGCCCCGTCTTGGCCGGCGCCTGGGGATGCGCCCTGGCCGGCGCCTTAGCCGGTGCCTTGGCCGGCGCCTGGGCCGGTGCCTTGGCCCCCCTCCTCGGCTTTTGTGGAGCCGATGGAGTAGGGGCAGACGCCGCCGCCGCGTAAGAAACGCGGCCTCCCACAACGGGGAGCGCGGTCGGAGCGGCGGCCTTAGGCCGCTGTGCCGACGCGAGCGGGGGGCGCATAATCGGCGCAGGAGGCAATCTCGCCTCCAGGCCAGCCAGGCGTCCGTCCAGCATATTCCCAACTGCGATGAGGATTTCTCGCAGTTGGGAGTCAAATGCCCCTGAGTTGGTGGTAGGGGCAGGCTGGGACGCGGACGGGGCTTCCCGCTCGGGGAGGTTCGCCTGGAAGCGGGCGAACTGAGCGCTCAGCTCGTTCACCCGCTCCGTCAGCTTCTCGTTGGCCACCTGCAGGCGAGAGACGTCGCCCGCTAGGCCCTCCACGACCTCCGACAAAGCGGAGGAGGAGTCCTTAAGGGCCCTCACAAACGAGCCCTTAAGGTTCACGGATTTGGTGGCCACCTTGTTGATGACGGCCACCGCCGCTTTCGCCCTCTCCTGCACGGACACGGGAGCCTGGGGGGCATTTCCCCCCACCGGCTCCCGAACCTTGAGCAGGAGATCCGCGATCTCCTCCTCCGCTACGGCCTCGCCGTCCACTCGTACGCTCCTGTAGGACTCCGCGTTTGAGAACGCGGAGCCTGACGGGGTCGAGACCGAGGCCGAGGCCGGTTTACGCGCCCTCCCTCGGCGGCTGCTTGCCACCTTTGGTGGCATCATTTCGCCGGACGTGTCGGTCCCCTCCTCCCTGGAGCGTCCGCGTTTCCGGCTGTCGCTCCGCTCCGCTTCCATGACGTCCGCGCCATCTGATGAAACGGCAGATCCTGAACGCAGCCGATCTGATGCTCTTCGGCTCCCAGAGACCAGCGTCAGACTGACTTCTGGGAGCCCCATCGAGATAGGCGTCCCCGACGCCACCTCACCCTCAGTGGACGACCCATCCGCTCCACTGTTCTGTTTCTCCTTCCTTCGGTTTGCTTCCTTTTCCGTTAGGCTTGCCTGTTTTCGTTGTGTTTGTCCGATCGTTTTCTTTGAGTTTTTAATTACATTTTCCATATTAAATCCCACGAGTGGGGGAGAACTAAAGGTCCACCCGGGCAGAGATCCCCCATTACCCGGGCAAGCGTAAGTTTTTTAACCCAACCGAGGGGTCCGCAGGTACCTCGGCTTGGAGTGCGCTCGCGACTGAACTTCCCATCAGCCATGCATCCCCTGGCCACGCACCAGAACACGGGATTCGGGGAATTTTTTAGAGAGGTTATCTTCCTCGCGGTCCGGGCGGTTAAGCCAAGACCCTCGCCCCCGATCAGAGCCGCGAGACTTAACCACAGCGCTCTTCTCGGGATTACGATATGCCGACGGTTGACAGGGAGACTACGTCCCCCTGCCTGCTCGGTGGTAGTGTGAGTACACGCCGAGCCCGTCCTCCTTTCTCCACCGCTGTCAGCGGAGAAACTGTGGCCCCTACAGGGCCCCGCCATCAGGTTTTTTACCGAGGTTTCCTCCTCCATGCTCCGAAGAGCGAAGAGCCAGCAGGGCAACCGGCAGACACGCCCACCCTGCTGGACCAGGCCTTGCCCGAGAGCCGATGAACGGCTGCCTCTTCTGCTAGAATATTGGCCGCTGGCGATAATCCTCTCCTCCAAGAGGACAAGGAGGGAACAGTACCATCGCCAGCGTTTCCAGGGTGCACCACGAGGAGGTTTTCTAGCCCAGCACCCCAAACCCTATACCAACCTGTTTGGCCAGCGTGGTATAGTAGGCCAAAACCTCATTTCCAAGGAGAGGTATATGTCCAGCAGTGGACTATTAAAGGCTGTTGATGATGGTGATGGCAACTACAGCCTCTCAGTACTGTCAGATGATCCGTCTGTTCATTTGCACTCCATTCCATAAAAGATATGATGCTAAATATGAAAGCAGGGAGCCAACTATTTTTCTTTGTAACTTCCGTCGTTTGTTCGTTAGTTTAATACAGATTGAACAAAAAAACTGAACTAAGTCACCTATTTTAAATATATGCAAAATGAATTTCCAGGCCAACGTGAGTGCGAAGAAGGGACTCACGCGTATGCACCGGGTTGCGGGCCTAAGACTTCGGAAGCGACTTGTGAAGAACCGAATCCTAAAGAAGAGAGAGTTATAATTTGCGACTACTCAGCTTGCTACTGCGACCCACCAACTGTTAGAGATACTGTCAGTGGAAAGTGCGTCACCCTTGATCAGTGCCCTAAAAAATGATTTGTGTCCTTTTTAGTAAGTAGTCCTTGTATTGTAGTTGCTATACTGCCCTACAGACATTAAAATACAGCAAGTACATAAACACAGTTCAGAAGGAAACGCAATTATAGTTTCAAGTGAAGAAAAAATATAATAATAATACCTTTGACTGCACGGATGACGTAGTGGTTTAAGCGGTCGCCACGCCGTTCACTACTACGCTGAGTGTTGTGGGTCCGATCCCAACATGGGACGACACTTTGTGTGATCCACAACTAATTGTTCTGAGTTTGGGTGTTCTTTGTGTCCGTTTCATGTATGTTTGTAAAGTCCCCTGTGACACAGGATATATTCCTAATGCGGGAGCTGTCTTTTCAACAAACAAAAAAAAAACTTAGTTGTACTTCAATTCCTTTGTTACAATTATACAATCCAATAAACAGATTATAACCGTATTAGGTGTACAAAGTAGACCCTGCCTTCCAAACTAGGTATTCCGGAACTTGGAAGTCAGTAATAATCAAACGTGTTTTGTATTCTTTTTATTTTTCTAAAGCAAGAATGTGGTCTAAAATATTAACGACTACGTTTTATTTATGTACGACATACCATATTTTAAATATAAATAGTGTTAATTTTACAAGCATATTTCTCTTGATTTTTTTTTAAATTTACCATTTAAAATACAGTTAAAAACTAAATTGCTGTGTTTGATATATTTTTTAAATGACAATACACACTAAAGTACAATAACATTAAGTTTTCACTCTAATTTAAATGGTATAAGAAGGAAAAATCTTAAGGAGACTTGCAGTGTACCAAAGATGGCTGCACGGATGGCGTAGTGGTTTAAGCGGTCGCCACGCCGCTTACTACTAGGCGGTGTTGTGGGTCCGATCCCCACTTGGACGACACTTTGTTTGATCCACAAATTGGTGTTCTAAGTCTGGGCGTTCTTTGTGTCCGTTTCATGTATGTTTGTAAAGCCCCAAAAAAAAAAAAAGAAAATCTCCTAGTGTATACAGTATAAGTCACATTTGTTTTCTCCTAATAATAATCTACATAATAAAATAAAATAACCAAAAAAAACACAGTATCAAAACTAAAACTAATCTCGTTTTCTCTTCTGTAGAATCACAATAATTAATAATAGTATTAATAATTTCTTAATATTATTAGTCTTAAAACAACAATTATTCTAAAAAAAACATAATTCGAGGCGTTTTACAAGTTTTTGTGAAACGGATTTACGAATTATGATTTCTTCTTATTCGTAGATTTCAATCAAATATTAGTGCCGTCCTGTAGTAGTCATTTGCCAGTTTAATTCATGAAACTATAAATTTTACTTTGTTATGTTCTATAGTTTTGATATTTAAGACGTGTTTAATGCAGTTAACTATGTTAAATAAAAACCCGTAAACAAACAGACATTAAACTTGCTATAATCTATAAAACTCGAGTTTTTTTTAAATTATTAAATTGAGGTTTTCCATTGAAAAATTGAAACCATATTCAGATTTAGGAAGTACAGTAAAAAACAGTTGTATGCGAATCATATTTACTGCATGTCAATTAGTTTTTTACCATTGTCCCATAAGCATTTACTGTCATGCAGTAAAGATTGGCGACTACTGCTTTTTTAATAAATAAATACTCAAAATTCTCTAAATTTTGCATTATTATTATATTTAAAATTAGTAATTTAACTATTTTCAACTATTTAGACCACGTTTACTGCAAATTAATTAAATAGAAAATATATTTAAATTAGTTCTGTAAAACAGAACTCAACTCAAAGAAAGAGAAAAAAACTCGATTACATCAAAGTTATTAAATCAAGAACGTCAATATGACACTTACTGTACTTTAATGTTTGTAGGGCAATATTAAAGTGTTTTAACAATATTTTATGGTAACTGTATATATTTAAAGCGTCGGTAGCGTAATAGCCAAGGTATCGAACATGCGAACAAGAGATTTGCATGTTCAAATCCTACCCAACATTCTACCAATGCGAGTTCGCTCCTAATACAACTAACTATTTCAGTTTAGCAATATGAGTTTGAAATTACACATCCTTTAATAAAACTATGAGATATTATGTTTTGTTTTAATTCATCATCAATCATTAACATTCTTTAGTAGTCCACTGTTGGGCATTTGCATCTCCTGGTTGAGGTCTCCAGAAATGAGGTTTAAACCTACTATATCATGCTGTCTAGACGAGTTGATAAAGGGTTTATATCAAGTTATTCTTCTATTTGCAGTGCTGTTTCTTGCAGAGTTTGCACCCTTGGTCGGCTCTTACGACACCCACTGGATAAATAGGAGTGGTGACTTTACATATTCTTAATTCGCCACAACAGAGACAATGTTTTAATTAATAATAATAATAGTGTGCCACATTTACACAGCGCCATCTAGTCCCAAACTAAGCAGAACTTGTACTATGTACTTAATTACAAAATAAAATACAAGTTCATATTTTAAAAAACTTTCAGATACATATAAAGCGAAATTTATAGCGTAGTGGCCTAATTTTGACATCCTATCCGTTTTCCTACAACCATCCTCCTTTCCCTTACTGAAAATGATAAGATTTCCAAGAAGGTTTGGCGTAAAGCACGCGGCAAAAATATTTCATGTCACTTTACTTAGAATCCAACAAAATATAAAATAATAACAATAATGACCTCACACATCTCACATACAGCCGTGTAAACCCAAACTAGACAGAGCATGTGCTAACAGAACCAGTCTTCTGATAAACATACCTATAACTGGTTAAATACATATTATAAATAAATAACACCTAGACACAGAACAAACAAACACACCATATTTCTCTTCGGTGAGAATTGAACTGACCATCTCTGACTTAGCAGCAAGAATCGCATCCTACTAGGCCAACAGGCCCGTCAAAAACAACAAAACGAAAAAATGAAAATAAATAAAACAAGTTTAATTTTTCAGTTTATCTTAAGTGGTGTTTGATAAGGCCTATGAACTTATGTATGTCGCAAGACTCAGAAATAGATTCGATGTCCAAAATGATCTCAGTGATTCTAGAATACCAATGTATAAAGGTGATAAGACGCTTCACACATATTAGTGTTCTTAAGTAACTCGGTTCCGCTGGCCGTGTATAACTTGTAATATTATCAACTATCTTATAAATATGAAATTATTATTTTTACTTTGTGTTTTTATGGTCGTTGCTTTGTCATCTGCCAAGCCGCAATTTAATCCACGGGGTTGTATTTATGTTAATGGACACTGTAAGTTAACAATTTTGTTAATATATTTCTGATGTAAATCCAGCGGTTTATTTCTTTGGCGCAACGGACTTGCTTGAAATCTACTTTTGAGTTTCATAAGACAAATTTGACAATTGATGCTGGACGAGTTAAATTGAGAATATCGATAATGCTTTATGTAAAGTACAATAGAAAGTTTTCTTAATATGTCACTGTGTCTAATATAGAATCCAACTTTAATGAGATGCGTTTATTTCCTAATGTTTGATTTGGTCTGGGTGTTTCTATGTACATATAATATGTATATATTTACAAAAAAAAGCAAATATGAAGTGTACAGTTGCCTAGTACCCATTGTATAAGCCTTGGTTAGTTTGGGACTAGATGGCGTTGTGTGATTGCGGTAGAATATAATATTTTGGTGTGTTCCGTTGCAGCCCGGCCACAGTCGATTTCGTAATTTATAGACATATCAATTAAATGTTCTTTTATTGTTCTTGCTGTACCAATTAAAAGTAAGTAAAGTTGATGATGTGCGTCATTATGTTCAAATCAAATCAAATCAAATTTCGTGGACAAATAATACAGTTATATCTGTTCATTGTATTATCTACACAGTTTTGTAAGAAATTAGTTATAATAGGTACTTTGATTAGAGTAGCACCTAATAAGTTACAATACTACCACGACTGCGTTTAACATGTTGACTGCACGGATGGCGTAGTAGTTTAAGCGGTCGCGCCGCCGCCGATTGTTGTGGATCCGATCCCCACATGGGACAACACTTTGTGTGATCCACAAATTGTTGTTCTAAGTCTGGGTGTTCTTTGTGTCCGTTTCATGTATGTTTGTAAAGTCCCCCGAGACACAGGATTGTGGCAACTCCCACATACGAAGAAACAGAAACATACTACAGCGCCATCTAAAGACTACACACCGAAATACGCAGTAGCTACTAAATAAGAATTGCTAATCCTGTATCGCGATATGAAGAATTCCCTCGCCGATTAGTATATATACAACTTCCCAACATCAAATATTGGGCCGCGGCCCGCCAGGCATTTGTGTTGCAGGGACATGACACCCGTTCCTCCACAGGATATATTCCTAATGTGGAAGTTGTTTTTTATTTTATATCGTATTTTGTTTCTTTTCAATTTGTTTATTTTTTGTTGAATTTGAATTGTACAGTATTTTTATTTTATTTTTAATTTTTAATTGTTGTTTTAATTGTTGTAGTTGTCTTAAAAAAAAAACAATACTATGATTTTTTTAATACTGTAGGTTACAATTTGTTTTGATTACTTTGTCTTTAAAAGCATATAATTTAAATTTACGGGTTAACATACTTACATTGCTCTTTTAGTCCTACAGGCGCTTAGTGCAAATTCTTATTTTAAGTCATTTTTTGTTTATGTATACCTTTCTCTTGGTTTATTTCATTGAAAAAATAAATAACATAAAAAGAACATTTATTTGGTTTATATTTTAGAACATTTTGAGCATCCTACCAGAAAATATACAGGTGGCCGGGCTGCAACGTATACGGTGCAGCCCGGCCACAAACAATTTCTTTTTAAACAAGATATGTTTGTGGTACATTTAATCTATTAATTGGTACAGCAAGAACAATAAAAGAACATTTAATTGATATGTCTATAAATTACGAAATCGACTGTGGCCGGGTTGCAACGGAACACACAATATTTTGCTCTTCGAGAATAGTTTGGTTTGACACTATGGAGGGTAATAGGTGTTGTTTCTACATCTTATTTTAAGATTCTTCCCTCAATGCAACAAGGTGTTAATAACCTCCTTTTTTCACAGTCGTTTGTTTTTTTTTTTTGCAAACTGTCCTCACAAAACCTGTTTTTATAAGTTTTTTTTTTGATACAATAATGATATTGCGTAGGATGATACAGTGTTATTCTAATCGATGTCTGTGTTATGAGAACAAATGTTATTTAGTAAACCAGATATCGGGTAACAGGTTTCGGATGTTTATAACTAGTTATTAATATTTTCTTTATTAAAAGTAATCGATATTAACGAATTATCTAAGGAACTGTAAAACGAAAAGTAATAAAAAGTAAGAAACTGGCTAAATAATGTAAAGTGGAAACCGAAACACAAACCCTATACCAACCTGTCTGGCCAGCGTGGTATAGTAAGCCAAAACCTCATCTCTAAGGAGAAATCAATGTTCAGCAGTGGACTATTAAAAGCTGTTGATGATGATGATAGAAACTGAAAGAGAGTCATGTTCCGTGATACTACAGCCTCAAAGAAGAACGTCAGCGGTAGTTACGTACCATCAGATGATTCGCCTGTTCATTTGCACTCCATTACACAAAAGATATGATGATAAATATGAATGCAGGGAGCAAACTATTTTTCTTAACAACTTCCTTCGTTTGTTCGTTGGTTAAGTACAAATTGAAAATAAAAGATACTAAACTAAATCGCCTATTGTAAGTATATCCAAATTGAATTTCCAGGCCAACGTGGGTGCGAAGTAGGGACTCACGCGTATGCACCGGGTTGCGGGCCTAAGACTCCCGAAGCGACTTGTGACGAACCGAATCCTAAACCAGACAGAGGTAATATTTGCGACTTCACAGCCTGTTACTGCGATCCACCAACAGTTCGGGACACCACTACTAGAAGGTGTGTGACACTCGATCAATGTCCTCAGAAAAACTAACGTATTCTTTAACTAAACGTAGGTCCTGTCCTGTGCTCATAATAATGTAAAATAATCCAGGAAATAAAAACTTAATATTGAGTATGTCGTATTATTGCTTATGTTTTAAGTTTAAGTAACCTCCATCAGTGGGAAAATGATGATTTGGCACATTTCGACCGGAGTTACACCACGACCTTGCAGAAAACTGGGCCTCGATTCTGCTATTTTATGTTAACGTCAAGTCAATGTCATTCCGTTGACACGCTATTGAGATTCCATTCAGACCCCATTGACATCAGTCAAAATATCAGTATTCTACTAACATAAATTCACAGTGTCAATAGACTTTCGATATAGTAATATAGGTCATCAATGGTGATATGAACAACATTGCCATACCTGGAAAATTAGTTTACCAAACTATTAAAAAGACATCGACGACATTTGTGTCACTGACAAGTCATCAGGAGGCGATTGGTCTAACGTAGTTAGTAGAATAGCAAAATTGCAAAACTATCGACAGTCTATTGATACTATATTAAAATAGTAGAATTGAGGCCCTGTTCTTTTGCCCCTATTCTTTAAAAACGCTACTCAATACCAGTAGCGTTTACTGCTACTGTATACATCTACTGCCTCGGTGATGCAGTCGTAGTGTATGCGACTGCTGTGCTGAGGTCTCGGGTTCAATTCCCGAGTCGGACCAAATGTTTGAATGATCTGCAAATTTTTTTCTCGGCGTTTGGATATTTTCCATGTATTATATGTATGTATTTACAAAAAAAGTATATAAGTATTCTATCAGCCAATCTAGCTTTCATGGTACAAGTTCAGCTTAGTTTGAAACTAGATGGCGTTGTCTGTCAGATGTCCAAAAATATTTATTACTTTATTTATTATTACATACTAAAAACTGTGTTTCTCTAAAATAATCCTTTAACTGTGGTAGGTAAAACTTACGGAGAGGTGCCACTAAAATCTTAACTTCTTTTCTTATGATAGTGTTGTACGATAGTATAATATAATGTCCTGATTTGCCGAAAAAAGAAGCAACCATTTTTTTACCAATGACTTTTCTTAACTTTCGTCGACAAATCTTCAAAAGGAAAGTATCCACTCTGCCGACTGGCTTTTTCTTTCGGGTTCGGAAAATAGACAGAAAATGACTGTCCTCTGTTAAAGTTTTTTATCATTTTACAGCATCACTGGACACGCAGTCGTTTCTGGTCCTCGAAACCATCGAGTATCCGAGGTATCCATCGAGTGCAAAGCTGCCGTACCTTCAGATGCACATGTAAAATATTTTGCACTTGGCCCATCCCAATGCATAACAAAGGACAATTGCTTTTTTATTCCTTTATTGTAAGTGGCCAGATCCAGAAATTTTCAGTATGCCCCACGTACATATATAAATTTCCAACGTCCATGCTGAGAGTGAACATAACATCTCATATTACGAACAACTCTATTATGTCTCACTCTCAGAATGGATCGCAATAAAGAGCTCCTTATTATTGACACGACTATTAACCAGCAAGTTCGCCATAACGGAAAAGATCTGGCGAGATATTGGATAGATTGTAAAAAGGCTTATGACTCTGTGGCGCATACGTGGCTTTTGATTGTGATGAAGTTGTACAAGATTGATACACTTTTGGAGATATGTATGCAGCAATGGAGAACAGTTATTTGCTATCCAGGATGTCGGCAATCTACAGGCGATGGCGAATATATTAATAATGATCAATCGGGGTACATGACAGGGTGATAGTTTAAGGGACTTGTGGCTTTGCTTGGCTTTGAATCCTCTCAGCACTATGTTGGAGTTTTCAGGCCTAGGCTATCATTTGCAGAGAGCTGGTAAGGTTATATCCCACCTCCTTTACATGGATGATTTAAAACTGTTTGCTTCCAGTAATTATATACTGACAAATTTACTAGAAATAACTAAAACCTTCAGTAGAGATATTAGGATTGAATTTGGTGTGTTTGTGAATCTTGTGAATCTTGAATTTGGTGTGTTTGTGAAAGTGTGCAATCATGGATGTAAAAAAAGGCAGGGTTGTCTGATAGGAGGGAACACTCAGATTCCATGCATTTAGGTGTCTCTCAGCTAACGAAACTTACAAATATCTAGGTATGTCACAGGCGTTAGGTGTAAATAAGTTGAATATGAAACAATCGTTACGGGAGCGCTTCTTTAGCAGCCTAAAAACAGTATTAAATAGTCTTTTGTCAAGTTTTAATAAGGCGAGGGCCTATAATGATTGGGTCATACCAGTTCTAACCTATTCTTTTGGCATACTTAGATAGACTCAGACTGAACTAGATACTAGATCGTGATGAGGTTCCTTTAAAATAAACCAAAATTTGGAAATTAAACTTTTAAGTATAATAATTTCGTAAACCATTTTGATTGCTTACACAATTTCTTCTTGTTATCTAATAGTGGTTTATAGCTTAATTTGTTCATTTTTTTGAGAAAGAAAGAAGATTGAAACTTAAGTTCTATATTATCATAAACTAACGTATTACTATTACAGCCAATACATCCCCTGAATTGCCCTGAGAAAAAGGTATTTCTATTTAAATATAACATTTTTTTTTTAATAATATTTAGTGTAACTTCAATTGTTATTGACTAACTTAAAAAACATTGACGCATGCAGGCCACTAAACCCCTCACCTTTTCTATAATTTTTAGATCAGGGGATCGCGCTGGCCATGGAATAACCTTAATATCCGAATGTTGAAACCATTCACTAAAAGCTAGCACGGTATCATCATCATCAGCCTATCGCAGTCTACAGCTAGACATAGGCCTTTCCCATTGCACGCCACTTAGATAGATTTTGGGCTTCTCGCATCTAGCTCCTGCCAGCCATCTATCTCAGCACGGAATACCAGACAGTTAAACCTCGAGGTAATTTTGATCTAGTTGGTATCATTTGTTTCATATTCACTAACCATAAACCTTTGGTACCTTAAAACTTACTTTGTGGAACAGTTTATCTGTTGTTTTGACCTGTGATAGTTTAAGATCATCATAATACATTCTTATCACATTATTTATTTGAACGAGTCCGAGATCTTTTATCAAACACTAGCAACCCACCCCGGCTTCGCACGGGTGGAATGTAGATACCAATGTGGTTTCAGTGTCGAGATATTATTAATATTATTATTATGATTATACTACAAAATCTGTTTATATACAGCAAGTTTTTCATAAGACAGTACAAATATGTTTTGCTTTAGATTTAGAGGTTTCTATGGCAAGCGCAGCGCCCCCGCCGACCGCTGGCACCCAGAACGTACGGCTTGGCGGCTGCTCTGATATCGGATATATAGGATGTCGGCAATCTACAGGCGATGGCGAATATATAATGATCAATCGGGGTACATTTCAGGGTGATAGTTTAAGTCCCTTGTGGCTTTGCTTGGCTTTGAATCCTCTCAGCACTATGTTGGAGTTTTCAGGCCTAGGCTATCATTTGCAGAGAGCTGGTAAGGTTATATCCCACCTCCTTTACATGGATGATTTAAAACTGTTTGCTGCCAGTAATTCCATACTGATAAATTTACTAGAAATAACTAAAACCTTCAGTAGAGATATTAGGATTGAATTTGGTGTGTTTGTGAAAGTGTGCATTCATGCATGTAAAAAAAGGCAGGGTTGTCTGATAGGAGGGAACACTCAGATTCCATGCATTTAGGTGTCTCTCAGCTAACGAAACTTACAAGCATCTAGGTATGTCACAGACGTTAGGTGTAAATGAGTTGAATATGAAACAATCGTTACTGGAGCACTTCTTTAGCAGCCTGAAAACAGTATTAAATAGTCTTTTGTCAGGTGGTAATAAGGTAAGGGCCTATAATGATTGGGTCATACCAGTTCTAACTTACTCTTTTGGCATACTTAGATAGACTCAGACTGAACTAGATACCCTGGATAGAAGTGTTCGTACATTGCTAACTGATCGTGATGGGGTTCCTTTAAAATGAACCAAAATTTGGAAATTAAACTTTTAAGTATAATATTTTTGTAAACCATTTTGATTGCTTACACAATTTCTTCTTGTTATCTAATAGAGGTTTATAGCTTAATTTGTTCATTTTTTTGAGAAAGAAAGAAGATTAAAACTTAAGTTCTATATTATCATAAACTAACGTATTACTATTACAGCCAATACATCCCCTGAATTGCCCTGAGAAAAAGGTATTTCTATTTAAATATAACATTTTTTTTTAATAATATTTAGTGTAACTTCAATTGTTATTGACTAACTTAAAATACGTTGACGCATGCAGGATACTAAACCCCTCACATTTTCTATAATTTTTAGATCAGAGGATCGCGCTGGCCATAGAATAACCTTAATATCCGAATGTTGAAACCATTCACTAACAGCTAGCACGGGATCGTCATCATCAGCCTATCGCAGTCCACAGCTGGACATAGGCCTCTCCCACTCCACTTAGATCGATTTTGGGCTTCTCGCATCTGGCTGCTGCTAGCCATCTATCTCAGCACGGTATATCAGACAGTTATCTTGAACAAAACCCTTTTACTATTGTCGTCCACGGGATAAATATTGTTCACAGCGGGTAGCATTACGTCGTTCAAAACCTCGAGGTAATATTGATCTAGTTGGTATCATTTGTTTCATATTGACTAGCCATAAACCGCCGCTGAGACTGAGTTATTACTTTTGTGCGATATCTACCGATAATGACTTTGACGTTTGACAGCTAATTGAAGATAAAGTTTAATTTGCCTCAATACACTATTTCAGTATTCGTTACGACGTACTTTACACCCTGTGTATTTCCTTGGTAACAGCTACACGCGTCATGTACTAGGTACTAATCAAGATAATTCCCTTATTTCTTACTTTGTGGAACAGGTAATCTGTTGTTTTGACCTGTGATAGTTTAAGATCATCATAATAAATTCTTATCACATTATTTATTTGTACTTGACTGTACAAATATGGTTGCTTTAGACTTGAGGTTTCTATGGCAAGTGCAGCGCACCCGCCGACCGCTAGCACTCGAGACGTACGGCCTGGCGGCTGCTCTGATATCTTTTAAGATATTTATTTTATTAACATGCTGTTAAAGGCAGTTTTAATTTAAATTCAATGAACAACGTCTCTAATGTACCTAATTAGATACACAATAAGACTGTTTATTCGTTATTTTTATTTTTGACTGTTAATTGTTTATTTGTTAAAATTGCTTCGTAAATAACGTATTATTTTAGTAAAATTTAAAAGTTAAAAATGATTAATGTGCAGACCTTAGGAGATGGAAGTATACTAAGGCGGCCTTTTTTGTTGATCTTTTTAAAATATACAACGCCGTATTATTTTAATTTATCTCATAAGCCTTTGCAATGTAAGCGCACAAAAATATATTTCCGTTCGTATTTAGTCCAAATTTTAGAAATTATCAGCTTTAACGCTCGATACTCGACTCTCTTAATATTGGTTAACTTAATAAAGGTTAATACCAAGATACAAATAAAAACTACTAATAAATAGTTTTCTAGCGGCGGCATTTCAAATAATTTAAAAAATTAAAAGAAAACTATTGTGGCGTAACTATAATAGTTTGGTATAATAGGTAGTGTTCTGCAAAGTGAGTTAAGTACATTATTTTATTCTATCATCAATAGTTTTCGCAGCGCACGCGATGTAAAGAATATTTTACGTATTTTTTTTTACTTTTTTTACTTTTTTACTTTTTACTTTTACTGTTCGAGAATAAATCTATGTCTTTAAATTCGGTATTATAGGTTATTATAATTCTGGAGAGAACAGAGTTCTTGGCATAATTTGTAGAACGTAAGGGCGCAACCAAGAGCCTGGTATGTCTTGTTCGTGTTCGAGGTACACTAAAGTAGATATTTGCTAGCAATGCAGGACAATCAAGTCGATTTCGTACAATATCGTACAGAAAACATACATCTAGCATTCGCC